CTGAAAACGATGCGTATTGGCTCCATTAGGTAGCAGTCTGTGATTTCCAGTATGAGTTGTAAAGATTCGATTTTTGTTAGTGATCAGATCAACTCTTAGGGGCAGGTGGTCCGAGTCCAGGTCCGTAGAGGAGTGGATTCGAAGTCGATTGCTATCTAGCCCACCGTAGACTGCGAGGTCAATTGCTGATGGTCTTTTCCTCCTATCGTACGGGTAGTGCGTTGCTCCGCCGGTGGCCAGAACATTATATCGACTTTGCGTGTGAATTGCTTCGAAGAGCGCTTTGCCTCTGTGACAGGCGCGCGGGTTTCCCCACCATGAGTGCTGGGCATTCCAGTCACCGCAGAGGAGAAAGTTAGATGAAGCCAGTTCTGTGATTTTGTCAAAATGTCTGAACAGTTTTGTGAAGTGTTCGACTGACCATTTGAACACTGGGGGGCAGTATATTGGCGCAATTATAATTATTTCCCTTTTATTCTCATTTTCAGGAAGTAAGGCAACAGGCATAATCTGGAGGAAGTTCTCGGACATTGGATGAAGGGCGGCATGTCTAATGTCGTTTCGTACAAAGATAGCGACTCCACCTCTCCGATACGTGTGTGGATTGGTTGTACTGTATGTGTGGTAGCCGTCCATGCTTAGTATGCTGGCGTCAGATGGAACCCGAGTTTCGATGACCATCATAATTTGGATGGACTCGCGTCGCATGTACAGCTCTAGCTCTGTCATTTTGTTGCCTATACCACATGCATTCCAGAAAGCAATTTTAAGTGGGTTGCTATTCTGGCCGCTCCTGTGGATGGTCACATGTGGATTTGCTGTACTAATTGGCGCACTGTTGTGGACATTTTCAGCTGAGGAAGTAGTGGCTATGGTCAATTGAGAGTCGGTACTGCTGTGAGTACGACTATACATATTTAGTGACGTCATTGGCGATGGCAGCTTCCCTAGAGCAGTCCATTTGGGCTGCTTTGCTGTCTGTTTGTTGATGGGCTATGTTTGGGAACACATGATTATTGGTGTTTGTTGTATTGTTTTCATTATGGATGGTAATGAATTGCACAAGGACATTTAATAGAGTGTCTATTCTTTTTTCCATGCGACTAAACATTGCCATGTTTTGTTCTAATGTCTGGAGTATAGTGCTTTTGGACATTGATGATTGGTGTCCTGCCTGCTGCTGCTGTTCATCCCATTGATGCTGCTGTGGAGTGGCCAAATGACTTCCAAACGAATTGCGCAAGGGAGCACTATAGTCGACTTGGCCGTGCGTGAACTTGTCACGATTGGTTGGAGTAGCTGGCTTGTTAATTGATGATGTTGCTGGCTTCCTGGAATTGTTCGAACGATGTTGTTGTTGATTCTGCCGTCTGCGAAGTGGCCGCTGAAGTGTTCCTAAAAGCTTTCTTTTCGGGTTATGTTTGCGGATTGTGGACACAAGCCGGCTGTGGGACATGTTGGTGGATCTTTCAGCTGAATTCGGTGTACTGGCATTGTTTGTTGCTGAGATCTGCTGTTCCCTCATGGGAGGATTTGGTAGTTGATTTTGCTGTTGTTCCAATCGTAGTTGCTGCTGGAAAGTGGCCAAGTGTATTTCGGCCGGGTTTCGTACGCGACCGGCAGCGTTGCCGTTACGCACGACCTGACTGTAGGATAGCTTAGCGACTCCTGGCTGTTTTAATGCTCTTGACTGCTGATGTGCTGGTTTTATCTGGTGTGGATGCTGGATTCCTGGCAGTGGCTGCTGCCTCTGCTCACGTTCTTGCCGCTGTTTATCATCGGCCATGACTCGGTTTGCCCTTAGTTTGCTGCGTGCGTTTTTGTAGGCAGGGCAGCCTTTATAGCAGCTTATATGATTGCCCTTGCAATTTGCGCACTTGGGCTCCACCTGTCTGGGTTTGGTGCACGCAGTTGACATGTGCTCACCTGCACATTTCATGCAGACGAAAGGCCGCCTGCAGTAATTTTTCGTGTGTCCAAAGGCCTGGCACCGATGGCACTGCACTGGATCACGAGGTTTGACTTGCCGCTCAACCGCGACTGATTGGCTCCCCAGCTCTTTCAGGTTGAGGATGTCTTCATGGCTCCCATCCGCTTTGGTCTGCAGTTCGATTTCGAATATATTCAGCGGCCTGCCTGTAAACCGGTGTTTTATGCCTCGGATGAATCGAGCGACAAAGCCCAATTGTTCTAGCTTGGCCGCTATCCATTCACAGGGTGTAGTGTGATGGATATGGCGCAAGATTATGCGATATCCCTTTTCGCTGCGTAGTTGGTGCGTATGCAGATGAGTGCCTTCTTCAGCCAGGGCGGTCAGGATTGCGTTGTGTGTGACCAGATCTTCACATTGGACACGTAATCCGCTGCCAGATGTTGCCTTTGTGGAGAATTTTCCAACACCTGGATTGCTTTTCAGTTTATCTAGTAGTGGTATAATTGCGGGCACCATCGGCAAGAAGAGTGCGGGCACTTTCTTGCTTTGTATTGTCTGTTGCTGTAGTGGCTGTGGTAGATGCTCTTTCGATTGCTGCTGCGAGCTCTCGTCCTTTGATTGCTGATGTTGTTGCGATTTTTGTTGATTCTGTTGTTGATGTGGCTGTGAATGCTGACAATTTTGTGATTGCCCTTGCTGTTCTGCCTGCTGTCCATGTTGCTGCTGTGCGTCACTTTGGAGCATTTGTTGCCGGCGTGCCTCCTGGTGGAGCTTGATGGCGAACCCGCTCTTAAAAATGGGCGTTGTTAGCGGTAGCACCTGGAGAGCGGGATCATCATCAGATTCATCCATGTCCACACATCTTCTCTTCAGGGGGGATCGCCATGTTGTGGCGGCGGTATTTATCGTTACTAGTGGAGGCTTTGGTAGTTCGTTGGGCAGCAGTGGTGGCACACCAGATAGCCAGCTTTGTAGCAATGTTGCTTTGTCGTTGTTGGTATTTTCTGCCGTCATTGTTAGCGTCTGAGTTGGCGGCGATTTTATTAAAGATGGCAGCAAGTTTCTTCTGGTTGTGGTTGTTGTAGTTGTTGCTGTTGGCGCAGGCATAGAATTGTTTTTCCATTGCTGGAGAAGTAGCTTCCAAGGTTTAACTTGTTGTTGGCTCTGTATTGGCTGTTGTAGTGGTTTCTGCTGTGTTGCTTGTTGTTGCTGAGTGCCAGTTATGTTGGCGTTCATGCGTGCATTGGTAGATGAGGACTGTAAAGCAGCGTTTAGTTCCTGCTGTAGTATGTGTGCGCCGCTTTTATTGGCGCTTGTCGATAAAGCAGTTTCCTTGCCCTGTGTGTGTATTTGCTGTGCGCACTGTTGTAATGTGTGTGTGCCGATTCCGTTGGCATTTGTCATTCTTTTTGTGTCTCTTATTTCTCTTTTGGCGGGGAATGTGCCGCTACTTTTGCGTTTGATTGTGTTAGTGATTTTCGCTTTTTTCTTTTGGATTTTATATGTATTGGCGCCTTTTTTTGTGGTGTTAGTGGCGTCTGATGCGCGTTTTGGCGGCCCTTTCTTTGCTTGTTCTTTTTTGAAGATTTTTGGGCAAATGGTTTTTTCCATTACTGTCGTTTGCAGGGGGCTCAGCGGGGCATCCATTTCAGCAAGGGCGGCTTCATCCTCGGTGTCAAACGTTACATCCATGGGTGAACCGCGGATAGGCTTGGTGGACAGGTCCGAGTTGGACTGCGACGGGAGTGTGACTATGTACTCACCGCTTGCTCTCGTCGGATCTGCCGCCGATGGGGCAGCATCGTGGCTAGAATTGGCTGGAGCAAGTGCATCCATGGAGAGTCGCCGGGTAGTACCGTGAGCAGTAGCGTCTGGCACGGTCAAGGGTGCCGTCGTTAATTTGTCAAGTTGGGAATTATCAGATTCACTGGCACTGGGCATGACGTATCTCGCTATATCACCGAAGTTGTAGCCGACCGAGATTATGGAGGCGTCAGAGGAATCGTATTCCTCATCTGAGCGCAGCATTTACTTTTTTTTTTTTTTTTTTTTTTTTTAATCTTAACTTTTTTTTTTTTTAATCTTAACCTTTTTTAATCTTAACCACTTGCCCGCCAGAAAGATACTGACGGTGTCTTTATTTTTAATTTAACTCATTACTTTAACATAGCAACTTATTTTAAATTTAAATGGCAACAGAAGTATTATAATTTGTGGGCAAAACATTTTGCAGCCCTGTTACAGCGTGTCGGTATTAACTTATCGGCTAAACGCGTTTTTGGTATTTTTATTTGCAACGATATTTATCGTCCTGCATTACTCATCTTTAGGAGCAGCATCAATGGCAGCGTTTCCTGAGTTTTGGCCCAGTAATCCGCCGTGGGAACCTGCGTCTTATTGAAAACAGTGGTAACTTCCTCTGTGGCGGCTATCGCGCGTCATGCATCTCACTCAGCTGGCAGGTACGCTTATGATGGATGGCCACTCGGGCAATTCAGGAAGTGAGGGGAGCCCACATGAAGCTGCTGGGCTATACCGTCGCTCATGCCAATTAGTGGTTTGGCTCAGTGGATCGTCGTGGAGCAGATCATCTTATCTGAGTATTGCATGTCAGCTGGCTTGGCAGCCGCAGCAACGCATTGGGTGGCCCGCAGTACAGGCCGGTTGCAGTTCAGGGTGCTAGGTGGAGCCCACAAGGAGCTGCTGAGCTGTTGCATATTTTGTTCGAGTGGGCGATGCCGATGCCGTCGCTCACTGCAAATTGTGTATTTAACCAGGAGGCCATCGTGGGGCGTATCATCTTCTTGGTAAGTATGTAGACAATTTTTTTTATTTGTGCTTTTGCTTGCAAGACAGCGCATCATCGTTGTGGTTAGGAAGCTTCTAATGGCGTCTCTCACACGCCATGCAGTTTGACCAGGAATTGTTTGTATGGGCGATGCCGGAGCAGTCGCCCACTCCAAGTTGGGTATTCAGCCAGCAGGCCGTCGTGGAGCATGTCATCTTTTGGTAAGTATGTATTTTAAAACAATTTTTGCTTTTATTTATGTGCCTTTGGTTGCAGGACAGCGCATTTTCGTCGTGATTTGGAAGCGTCCAGCGTCGTCTCTCACACGCCACGCAGCTTGGCCAGAAATTGTTTGACTGGGCGATACCGAAGCAATCGCTCACCTCAAATTGAGTACTGGGCCCAGTCGACCGTCATAGGCGCATCGTCTTTATTTGCAGGACAGCACTTAGTGTCATGGTTTGGAAACATCCGTTGGCGTCTCTCACTCGCCACGAAGCTTGCCAGTAATTGCATGTCAGTTGGCTTGGCGGTCACAGTAACGCATTCAATCGGCTCAATAGTAATGGATGGCCTGGAAGCAGGCCGGTAGCGATGCAGATTGCTAGATGGAGCCCAACAGGAGCTGCTGAGCTGTTGCCCACTTTGTTTGAGAGGGCGGTGCCGGAGCTGTCGCTCACTCCAGGTTGAGTATTTAGCCAGCAGGCCGTCGTGGAGCATGTCATCTTCTTGGTAAGTATGTGTTTTAAACAATTTTTTGCTTTTAATTATGTGCCTTTGGTTGCAGGACAGCGCATCATCTTCGTGATTTGGAAATATCTGGTGGCGTCTCTCACACGCCACGCAGCTTGACCAGGAATTGTTTGTATGAGCGATACCGAAGCAGTCGCTCACTTCAAATGAGTATTTGGCCCAATTTACCGTCGTGGGTGCATCGTCTTCTTGGTATGTATGTATTTAAAGCTTTATTTAGACATTGTTTAATTTATGCCTTTATTTGCAGGGCAGCAGTTCTGCGTCTTGCTTTAGAAACATTCATTGTCGTCTCTCACACTCCACAATCCGTCCAGTAGTTGCATGTCAGCAGACCCGGGTGGCCCGCAAACAGGCCGGTTGCAGTTCAGGATGCTAGATGGAGCCCACAAGGAGCTGCTGGGCTGTTGAATACCTTGTTCGAGTGGGCGATGCCGAGGCCGTCGCTCACTCCAAATTGAGTTCCCAAACCTTGCTTGCAGGACAGCGCATCATCGTCGCGGTTTGGAAACATCCAGTGGCGTCTCTCACACGCCATGCAGTTTGGCCAGGAATTGTTTGAATGGGCGATACCGAAGCAGTCGCCCACTCTAAATTGGGCATTCGACCAGCAGGCCGTCGTGGAGCATGTCATCTTTTGGTAAGTATGTATTTTAAACAATTTTTTGCTTTTATTTATGTGCCTTTGGTTGCAGGACAGCGCATTTTCGTCGTGATTTGGAAGCGTCCAGCGTCGTCTCTCACACGCCACGCAGCTTGGCCAGAAATTGTTTGACTGGGCGATACCGAAGCAATCGCTCACCTCAAATTGAGTACTGGGCCCAGTCGACCGTCATAGGCGCATCGTCTTTATTTGCAGGACAGCACTTAGTGTCATGGTTTGGAAACATCCGTTGGCGTCTCTCACTCGCCACGAAGCTTGCCAGTAATTGCATGTCAGTTGGCTTGGCGGTCACAGTAACGCATTCAATCGGCTCAATAGTAATGGATGGCCTGGAAGCAGGCCGGTAGCGATTCAGATTGCTAGATGGAGCCCAACAGGAGCTGCTGAGCTGTTGCCCACTTTGTTTGAGAGGGCGGTGCCGGAGCTGTCGCTCACTCCAGGTTGAGTATTTAGCCAGCAGGCCGTCGTGGAGCATGTCATCTTCTTGGTAAGTATGTGTTTTAAACAATTTTTTGCTTTTAATTATGTGCCTTTGGTTGCAGGACAGCGCATCATCTTCGTGATTTGGAAATATCTGGTGGCGTCTCTCACACGCCACGCAGCTTGACCAGGAATTGTTTGTATGAGCGATACCGAAGCAGTCGCTCACTTCAAATGAGTATTTGGCCCAATTTACCGTCGTGGGTGCATCGTCTTCTTGGTATGTATGTATTTAAAGCTTTATTTAGACATTGTTTAATTTATGCCTTTATTTGCAGGGCAGCAGTTCTGCGTCTTGCTTTAGAAACATTCATTGTCGTCTCTCACACTCCACAATCCGTCCAGTAGTTGCATGTCAGCAGACCCGGGTGGCCCGCAAACAGGCCGGTTGCAGTTCAGGATGCTAGATGGAGCCCACAAGGAGCTGCTGGGCTGTTGAATACCTTGTTCGAGTGGGCGATGCCGAGGCCGTCGCTCACTCCAAATTGAGTTCCCAAACCTTGCTTGCAGGACAGCGCATCATCGTCGCGGTTTGGAAACATCCAGTGGCGTCTCTCACACGCCATGCAGTTTGGCCAGGAATTGTTTGAATGGGCGATACCGAAGCAGTCGCCCACTCTAAATTGGGCATTCGACCAGCAGGCCGTCGTGGAGCATGTCATCTTTTGGTAAGTATGTATTTTAAACAATTTTTTGCTTTTATTTATGTGCCTTTGGTTGCAGGACAGCGCATTTTCGTCGTGATTTGGAAGCGTCCAGCGTCGTCTCTCACACGCCACGCAGCTTGGCCAGAAATTGTTTGACTGGGCGATACCGAAGCAATCGCTCACCTCAAATTGAGTACTGGGCCCAGTCGACCGTCATAGGCGCATCGTCTTTATTTGCAGGACAGCACTTAGTGTCATGGTTTGGAAACATCCGTTGGCGTCTCTCACTCGCCACGAAGCTTGCCAGTAATTGCATGTCAGTTGGCTTGGCGGTCACAGTAACGCATTCAATCGGCTCAATAGTAATGGATGGCCTGGAAGCAGGCCGGTAGCGATTCAGATTGCTAGATGGAGCCCAACAGGAGCTGCTGAGCTGTTGCCCACTTTGTTTGAGAGGGCGGTGCCGGAGCTGTCGCTCACTCCAGGTTGAGTATTTAGCCAGCAGGCCGTCGTGGAGCATGTCATCTTCTTGGTAAGTATGTGTTTTAAACAATTTTTTGCTTTTAATTATGTGCCTTTGGTTGCAGGACAGCGCATTTTCGTCGTGATTTGGAAGCGTCCAGCGTCGTCTCTCACACGCCACGCAGCTTGGCCAGAAATTGTTTGACTGGGCGATACCGAAGCAATCGCTCACCTCAAATTGAGTACTGGGCCCAGTCGACCGTCATAGGCGCATCGTCTTTATTTGCAGGACAGCACTTAGTGTCATGGTTTGGAAACATCCGTTGGCGTCTCTCACTCGCCACGAAGCTTGCCAGTAATTGCATGTCAGTTGGCTTGGCGGTCACAGTAACGCATTCAATCGGCTCAATAGTAATGGATGGCCTGGAAGCAGGCCGGTAGCGATTCAGATTGCTAGATGGAGCCCAACAGGAGCTGCTGAGCTGTTGCCCACTTTGTTTGAGAGGGCGGTGCCGGAGCTGTCGCTCACTCCAGGTTGAGTATTTAGCCAGCAGGCCGTCGTGGAGCATGTCATCTTCTTGGTAAGTATGTGTTTTAAACAATTTTTTGCTTTTAATTATGTGCCTTTGGTTGCAGGACAGCGCATCATCTTCGTGATTTGGAAATATCTGGTGGCGTCTCTCACACGCCACGCAGCTTGACCAGGAATTGTTTGTATGAGCGATACCGAAGCAGTCGCTCACTTCAAATGAGTATTTGGCCCAATTTACCGTCGTGGGTGCATCGTCTTCTTGGTATGTATGTATTTAAAGCTTTATTTAGACATTGTTTAATTTATGCCTTTATTTGCAGGGCAGCAGTTCTGCGTCTTGCTTTAGAAACATTCATTGTCGTCTCTCACACTCCACAATCCGTCCAGTAGTTGCATGTCAGCAGACCCGGGTGGCCCGCAAACAGGCCGGTTGCAGTTCAGGATGCTAGATGGAGCCCACAAGGAGCTGCTGGGCTGTTGAATACCTTGTTCGAGTGGGCGATGCCGAGGCCGTCGCTCACTCCAAATTGAGTTCCCAAACCTTGCTTGCAGGACAGCGCATCATCGTCGCGGTTTGGAAACATCCAGTGGCGTCTCTCACACGCCATGCAGTTTGGCCAGGAATTGTTTGAATGGGCGATACCGAAGCAGTCGCCCACTCTAAATTGGGCATTCGACCAGCAGGCCGTCGTGGAGCATGTCATCTTTTGGTAAGTATGTATTTTAAACAATTTTTTGCTTTTATTTATGTGCCTTTGGTTGCAGGACAGCGCATTTTCGTCGTGATTTGGAAGCGTCCAGCGTCGTCTCTCACACGCCACGCAGCTTGGCCAGAAATTGTTTGACTGGGCGATACCGAAGCAATCGCTCACCTCAAATTGAGTACTGGGCCCAGTCGACCGTCATAGGCGCATCGTCTTTATTTGCAGGACAGCACTTAGTGTCATGGTTTGGAAACATCCGTTGGCGTCTCTCACTCGCCACGAAGCTTGCCAGTAATTGCATGTCAGTTGGCTTGGCGGTCACAGTAACGCATTCAATCGGCTCAATAGTAATGGATGGCCTGGAAGCAGGCCGGTAGCGATTCAGATTGCTAGATGGAGCCCAACAGGAGCTGCTGAGCTGTTGCCCACTTTGTTTGAGAGGGCGGTGCCGGAGCTGTCGCTCACTCCAGGTTGAGTATTTAGCCAGCAGGCCGTCGTGGAGCATGTCATCTTCTTGGTAAGTATGTGTTTTAAACAATTTTTTGCTTTTAATTATGTGCCTTTGGTTGCAGGACAGCGCATCATCTTCGTGATTTGGAAATATCTGGTGGCGTCTCTCACACGCCACGCAGCTTGACCAGGAATTGTTTGTATGAGCGATACCGAAGCAGTCGCTCACTTCAAATGAGTATTTGGCCCAATTTACCGTCGTGGGTGCATCGTCTTCTTGGTATGTATGTATTTAAAGCTTTATTTAGACATTGTTTAATTTATGCCTTTATTTGCAGGGCAGCAGTTCTGCGTCTTGCTTTAGAAACATTCATTGTCGTCTCTCACACTCCACAATCCGTCCAGTAGTTGCATGTCAGCAGACCCGGGTGGCCCGCAAACAGGCCGGTTGCAGTTCAGGATGCTAGATGGAGCCCACAAGGAGCTGCTGGGCTGTTGAATACCTTGTTCGAGTGGGCGATGCCGAGGCCGTCGCTCACTCCAAATTGAGTTCCCAAACCTTGCTTGCAGGACAGCGCATCATCGTCGCGGTTTGGAAACATCCAGTGGCGTCTCTCACACGCCATGCAGTTTGGCCAGGAATTGTTTGAATGGGCGATACCGAAGCAGTCGCCCACTCTAAATTGGGCATTCGACCAGCAGGCCGTCGTGGAGCATGTCATCTTTTGGTAAGTATGTATTTTAAACAATTTTTTGCTTTTATTTATGTGCCTTTGGTTGCAGGACAGCGCATTTTCGTCGTGATTTGGAAGCGTCCAGCGTCGTCTCTCACACGCCACGCAGCTTGGCCAGAAATTGTTTGACTGGGCGATACCGAATGCCAGTACACCGAATTCAGCTGAAAGATCCACCAACATGTCCCACAGCCGGCTTGTGTCCACAATCCGCAAACATAACCCGAAAAGAAAGCTTTTAGGAACACTTCAGCGGCCACTTCGCAGACGGCAGAATCAACAACAACATCGTTCGAACAATTCCAGGAAGCCAGCAACATCATCAATTAACAAGCCAGCTACTCCAACCAATCGTGACAAGTTCACGCACGGCCAAGTCGACTATAGTGCTCCCTTGCGCAATTCGTTTGGAAGTCATTTGGCCACTCCACAGCAGCATCAATGGGATGAACAGCAGCAGCAGGCAGGACACCAATCATCAATGTCCAAAAGCACTATACTCCAGACATTAGAACAAAACATGGCAATGTTTAGTCGCATGGAAAAAAGAATAGACACTCTATTAAATGTCCTTGTGCAATTCATTACCATCCATAATGAAAACAATACAACAAACACCAATAATCATGTGTTCCCAAACATAGCCCATCAACAAACAGACAGCAAAGCAGCCCAAATGGACTGCTCTAGGGAAGCTGCCATCGCCAATGACGTCACTAAATATGTATAGTCGTACTCACAGCAGTACCGACTCTCAATTGACCATAGCCACTACTTCCTCAGCTGAAAATGTCCACAACAGTGCGCCAATTAGTACAGCAAATCCACATGTGACCATCCACAGGAGCGGCCAGAATAGCAACCCACTTAAAATTGCTTTCTGGAATGCATGTGGTATAGGCAACAAAATGACAGAGCTAGAGCTGTACATGCGACGCGAGTCCATCCAAATTATGATGGTCATCGAAACTCGGGTTCCATCTGACGCCAGCATACTAAGCATGGACGGCTACCACACATACAGTACAACCAATCCACACACGTATCGGAGAGGTGGAGTCGCTATCTTTGTACGAAACGACATTAGACATGCCGCCCTTCATCCAATGTCCGAGAACTTCCTCCAGATTATGCCTGTTGCCTTACTTCCTGAAAATGAGAATAAAAGGGAAATAATTATAATTGCGCCAATATACTGCCCCCCAGTGTTCAAATGGTCAGTCGAACACTTCACAAAACTGTTCAGACATTTTGACAAAATCACAGAACTGGCTTCATCTAACTTTCTCCTCTGCGGTGACTGGAATGCCCAGCACTCATGGTGGGGAAACCCGCGCGCCTGTCACAGAGGCAAAGCGCTCTTCGAAGCAATTCACACGCAAAGTCGATATAATGTTCTGGCCACCGGCGGAGCAACGCACTACCCGTACGATAGGAGGAAAAGACCATCAGCAATTGACCTCGCAGTCTACGGTGGGCTAGATAGCAATCGACTTCGAATCCACTCCTCTACGGACCTGGACTCGGACCACCTGCCCCTAAGAGTTGATCTGATCACTAACAAAAATCGAATCTTTACAACTCATACTGGAAATCACAGACTGCTACCTAATGGAGCCAATACGCATCGTTTTCAGGAGCTTCTTGACCAGCAAATCCACTTAAACACCGAGATCCGCAGTGGCCTGGACATCGACGATGCAGTGAACATCTTCGTACGCAACGTTCAAATAGCGGCAGATGCAGCAGCACACAGGCAGATAGGAAACCAGCTTAGCCACCGGGCCCACCGCAGGCACGATCTTGAACTGGACGAGCCAACCAGAAGACTATTATCGGAGAAACAGAGATGCAAGCAGATTTTAATGGCGACACGAACTCCAGAGGCAAGGCAACAATATAGGTCTGCACAAAATAAGTTGAAGAAGGCACTAATCCAGCTGAAAAACAAGAATATTAATAAAATGCTTGTGGACATTGACACCCATGATCGATACGCTATGCAAAAGCTTTGGAGACTTACCAACAAGCTTAAAAAACAGCCGCAGCCCAATTGGCCAATAAAAACAATACAGGCTAATGTTGGCAATGGGGGCGCGAGGCGTGCGACAAATCCAAACGTAATATGGACGAAAACTACTGCCGAAAAAGCGGAGGCTTTCGTCGCCCACCTTGAAGAAAGATTCAGTCCAAATTTCTCTAATTCGTCTGAGGAGCGTGCAGAAATTCGTCAGGAATGGAGACAACTGAAGCAGCAGAAACTCCAGCAGCAACAAACAGACCAGGAGCTACAGCAGACTATTAGGCCAATCACGCTCAATGAACTAAAGCTAGAAATTGATGCACTAGTGGTAACGAAGTCGCCTGGAGAAGATAAAATAGATAACAGAATTATCCAACTTTTACCGCAAAAAGCGCTGCTATACTTACTGCTAATCTACAACTCTAGCCTAAGGTTAGGGCATTTCCCAAGCAAATGGAAACACGCTGGCATAATTATGATTCCCAAGCCTGGTAAAAGCACAGCTGAAGCAACATCATATCGTCCAATCAGCCTCTTATCGGGCCTATCAAAGATCTTCGAGAAGCTCTTAATGTCAAGGCTCTTCGAAGTCCAGGATTTTGCCAGGGCAATGCCAAGCCATCAATTTGGCTTCAGGCGAGAACACGGCACTGAGCAGCAACTGGCCCGCGTTACGCAATTTATATTACGCGCATACGAAGAGCGACATTTCTGCTCAGCGGTCTATATAGATATCTCGGAAGCCTTTGACCGCGTGTGGCATGACGGCCTGCTGAACAAGTTAATAAAATTGTTACCATTAAACCTTTATACGATACTTGAAAATTACCTATGCGAGCGCACCTTCGTAGTAAACTGCAACGACGGTGTCAAATCTAGAACAGGTCGAGTTGCTGCCGGCGTGCCCCAGGGCAGTGTGCTGGGCCCAATTCTGTACACAATTTACTCGTCGGATATGCCCCTCCCATCGCTCATGAGACGCACATACTTTGCGCCCAGCCAAAATCAAATGCTGTTATCAACATACGCCGACGATACAGTGATCATGTGTGCCTCTGCGCTTCCCTCGGGGGCTGTCGGACAGAACGAGGAATACCTTCGCCACTTCACAAAATGGGCGAAAAAATGGTCCATTAGTATCAACGCTAACAAAACAGGCCATGTGCTCTACACACTGAGAAATCTAGCTCAAACAGATAGAGAACGGTCACCACTACTAAATGGGCAAAGGATACCAAGCAAAACCTCACAGACATACCTGGGAATCATACTGGACCGGAAACTCACCCTCAAACCACATGTCACTCACCTAAGTAACAAGCTGAGAGCAAGAGCATCCAAACTGATGTGGCTCCTTGGTCCCAACAGCAGACTGGCAAAGGACTGCAAAGCGGTACTCATCAAGCAGCTCATCATACCAATCTGGCAATACGGTCTCCCTGTCTGGGGGCGCTCACATCGGACACACAGTTACAACGAATTCAGCGACTGCAAAATAAAATAATAAGAAAATCAGTTAATGCATCCTGGTACACCAGAAACGCAACAATACGGAGTACATACTGCCTTAAAACTGTTGACGAAGTCTTTCACTTGGCAAGTGACCGCTTTGCAAACTCGTTGGTCAGACATGCAAACCCTGAGGCACGAAACCTGCTAGAGCACCCATTTGAGCCACAGCGCCTACTGAGGCCCCGCTACATGCAGCAATTACAACAACACATACGACCGCTTCAGAATCATCATGGACCGCAACAGCGCCAAGCACAGCCACCGCACACACAGCACACTGCTCACCAAGCACAACAAGCACAACAAAGGATGCAATTTAGAGAGCAGCTTCCAACACTCCTCCGGCTTCAAGAAGAAGAGCTAGAGAGGCGAGAAAATGAGAGATTGGCCGAAATCCAGGCAAGGCAACAGATCCAGCAACCTAATCGGCCGCCTCCTAGAAGATTCGGGGAGTCAATAATAAATGCGTTAAGAAGAATGTATAGAAGCGGAGAAATCACCCGTGAAGAGGTAGTGGCAGATATTCAAGGCCAACCCCCAACAATCCAGCGATTAATCCTACCAGACTATGTGGACGAGAGGCAGCAGGATCATCAAACACAGCAAGCTCTGCCAATGCAGATGCAACAGGCACCATCAACGCAGCAACAACAGCAGCTAACTACGCCAACTCAGGAGTCAGTGAATCCGCAGTTGCAACCGCAGCTACAGCAGCCGCAACTCCAACAAACTCAGCTAACGACGACTGTCATCCAGGCCAGGCACCAACTCCAGCAAATACCTAGAAGATTTGGGGAGTTAAGAATAAATGCGTTAAGAAGAATGTATAGAAGCGGACAAGTTACCCGTGAAGAGCTAGTGGCTAACATCCAAGGCCAACCTCCAACAATCCAGCGATTAATCCTACCAGACTATGTGGACGAGAGGCAGCAGAATCATCAACCACAGCGTACTCTGCCAATGCAGATACAACAGGCACTATCAACGCAGCAACAACAGCAGCTAACTACGCCAACTCAGGAGTCAGTGAATCCGCAGTTGCAACCGCAGCTACAGCAGCCGCAACTCCAACAAACTCAGCTAACGACGACTGTCATCCAGGCCAGGCACCAACTCCAGCAAATACCTAGAAGATTTGGGGAGTTAAGAATAAATGCGTTAAGAAGAATGTATAGAAGCGGACAAATTACACGTGAAGAGCTAGTGGCTAACATCCAAGGCCAACCCCCAACAATCCAGCGATTAATCCTACCAGACTATGTGGACGAGAGGCAGCAGAATCATCAAACACAGCATACTCTGCCAATGCAGACTCAACAGGCATCAGTAACGCCACAACAGCAGCTAACGACATCACCTCAGGGGACAGGAAACCTGCAATCGCTGACGCAACCACAGCAGCCGCAACTACAACACACCCAGATAAATACAGCCATCAGCCACGAAACACTCCTGGAGCATGGCCTCCAGAGAGTCCGGTTAACATTGGAACGCGTTCTAAATGAAGACATGGAAGTCGCAAGCTCCCAAGATGATCTGCTGGGTCAAATAATTAGTTTGGAATGAGCAACGGCATTGGCAGCGTCTACCAAAACAAATATGAAATAGCTCAACTGCTCCTTGTGGGCTCCATCCAACATCCTGACTCATAACGGAACCGATTTAATACTTTGCCGCCAAGTCAGCTGACATGCAATTCCTCGACAAATTGTGGAGTCTGAGAGACGCCAATAGATGTTTCCAAACCACGACACAGAAGTGCTGACCTGCAAACAAAGGCACAAATTAAACACTGTTTAAACAAAGCTTTAAATGCATACACACCAAGAACACGATGCGCCCACGACGGCCAACTGGGCCAAATTCTCAATTTGGAGTGAGCGAGTGCCTCGGCATCGCCCACTCAAACAAAATATGCAACAGCTCAGCAGCTCTTTGTGGGCTCATCCAGCATCCTGAAACGCAAACAGCCTGCTTGCATGCCATCAAGTACAACGGAGCCGATTTAATACGCTGCTGTGACTACCAAGTCGACTGATATGTAAATTCTGGACAAGCTGCGTGGCGTGTGAGAGACGCCACCAGATATTTCCAAATCACGAATGATGATGCGCTGTCCTGCAACCAAAGGCACATAAATAAAAGCAAAAAATTGTTTAAAATACATACTTACCAAAAGATGACATGCTCCACGACGGCCTGCTGGTCGAATGCCCAATTTAGAGTGGGCGACTGCTTCGGTATCGCCCATTCAAACAATTCCTGGCCAAACTGCATGGCGTGTGAGAGACGCCACTGGATGTTTCCAAACCGCGACGATGATGCGCTGTCCTGCAAGCAAGGTTTGGGAACTCAATTTGGAGTGAGCGACGGCCTCGGCATCGCCCACTCGAACAAGGTATTCAACAGCCCAGCAGCTCCTTGTGGGCTCCATCTAGCATCCTGAACTGCAACCGGCCTGTTTGCGGGCCACCCGGGTCTGCTGACATGCAACTACTGGACGGATTGTGGAGTGTGAGAGACGACAATGAATGTTTCTAAAGCAAGACGCAGAACTGCTGCCCTGCAAATAAAGGCATAAATTAAACAATGTCTAAATAAAGCTTTAAATACATACATACCAAGAAGACGATGCACCCACGACGGTAAATTGGGCCAAATACTCATTTGAAGTGAGCGACTGCTTCGGTATCGCTCATACAAACAATTCCTGGTCAAGCTGCGTGGCGTGTGAGAGACGCCACCAGATATTTCCAAATCACGAAGATGATGCGCTGTCCTGCAACCAAAGGCACATAATTAAAAGCAAAAAATTGTTTAAAACACATACTTACCAAGAAGATGACATGCTCCACGACGGCCTGCTGGCTAAATACTCAACCTGGAGTGAGCGACAGCTCCGGCACCGCCCTCTCAAACAAAGTGGGCAACAGCTCAGCAGCTCCTGTTGGGCTCCATCTAGCAATCTGAATCGCTACCGGCCTGCTTCCAGGCCATCCATTACTATTGAGCCGATTGAATGCGTTACTGTGACCGCCAAGCCAACTGACATGCAATTACTGGCAAGCTTCGTGGCGAGTGAGAGACGCCAACGGATGTTTCCAAACCATGACACTAAGTGCTGTCCTGCAAATAAAGACGATGCGCCTATGACGGTCGACTGGGCCCAGTACTCAATTTGAGGTGAGCGATTGCTTCGGTATCGCCCAGTCAAACAATTTCTGGCCAAGCTGCGTGGCGTGTGAGAGACGACGCTGGACGCTTCCAAATCACGACGAAAATGCGCTGTCCTGCAACCAAAGGCACATAAATAAAAGCAAAAATTGTTTTAAAATACATACTTACCAAAAGATGACATGCTCCACGACGGCCTGCTGGCTGAATACCCAACTTGGAGTGGGCGACTGCTCCGGCATCGCCCATACAAACAATTCCTGGTCAAACTGCATGGCGTGTGAGAGACGCCATTAGAAGCTTCCTAACCACAACGATGATGCGCTGTCTTGCAAGCAAAAGCACAAATAAAAAAAATTGTCTACATACTTACCAAGAAGATGATACGCCCCACGATGGCCTCCTGGTTAAATACACAATTTGCAGTGAGCGACGGCATCGGCATCGCCCACTCGAACAAAATATGCAACAGCTCAGCAGCTCCTTGTGGGCTCCACCTAGCACCCTGAACTGCAACCGGCCTGTACTGCGGGCCACCCAATGCGTTGCTGCGGCTGCCAAGCCAGCTGACATGCAATACTCAGATAAGATGATCTGCTCCACGACGATCCACTGAGCCAAACCACTAATTGGCATGAGCGACGGTATAGCCCAGCAGCTTCATGTGGGCTCCCCTCACTTCCTGAATTGCCCGAGTGGCCATCCATCATAAGCGTACCTGCCAGCTGAGTGAGATGCATGACGCGCGATAGCCGCCACAGAGGAAGTTACCACTGTTTTCAATAAGACGCAGGTTCCCACGGCGGATTACTGGGCCAAAACTCAGGAAACGCTGCCATTGATGCTGCTCCTAAAGATGAGTAATGCAGGACGATAAATATCGTTGCAAATAAAAATACCAAAAACGCGTTTAGCCGATAAGTTAATACCGACACGCTGTAACAGGGCTGCAAAATGTTTTGCCCACAAATTATAATACTTCTGTTGCCATTTAAATTTAAAATAAGTTGCTATGTTAAAGTAATGAGTTAAATTAAAAATAAAGACACCGTCAGTATCTTTCTGGCGGGCAAGTGGTTAAGATTAAAAACTTACCAAGAAGATGACATGCTCCACGACGGCCTGCTGGCTAAATACTCAACCTGGAGTGAGCGACAGCTCCGGCACCGCCCTCTCAAACAAAGTGGGCAACAGCTCAGCAGCTCCTGTTGGGCTCCATCTAGCAATCTGAATCGCTACCGGCCTGCTTCCAGGCCATCCATTACTATTGAGCCGATTGAATGCGTTACTGTGACCGCCAAGCCAACTGACATGCAATTACTGGCAAGCTTCGTGGCGAGTGAGAGACGCCAACGGATGTTTCCAAACCATGACACTAAGTGCTGTCCTGCAAATAAAGACGATGCGCCTATGACGGTCGACTGGGCCCAGTACTCAATTTGAGGTGAGCGATTGCTTCGGTATCGCCCAGTCAAACAATTTCTGGCCAAGCTGCGTGGCGTGTGAGAGACGACGCTGGACGCTTCCAAATCACGACGAAAATGCGCTGTCCTGCAACCAAAGGCACATAAATAAAAGCAAAAATTGTTTTAAAATACATACTTACCAAGAAGATGACATGCTCCACGACGGCCTGCTGGCTGAATACCCAACTTGGAGTGGGCGACTGCTCCGGCATCGCCCATACAAACAATTCCTGGTCAAACTGCATGGCGTGTGAGAGACGCCATTAGAAGCTTCCTAACCACAACGATGATGCGCTGTCTTGCAAGCAAAAGCACAAATAAAAAAAATTGTCTACATACTTACCAAGAAGATGATACGCCCCACGATGGCCTCCTGGTTAAATACACAATTTGCAGTGAGCGACGGCATCGGCATCGCCCACTCGAACAAAATATGCAACAGCTCAGCAGCTCCTTGTGGGCTCCACCTAGCACCCTGAACTGCAACCGGCCTGTACTGCGGGCCACCCAATGCGTTGCTGCGGCTGCCAAGCCAGCTGACATGCAATACTCAGATAAGATGATCTGCTCCACGACGATCCACTGAGCCAAACCACTAATTGGCATGAGCGACGGTATAGCCCAGCAGCTTCATGTGGGCTCCCCTCACTTCCTGAATTGCCCGAGTGGCCATCCATCATAAGCGTACCTGCCAGCTGAGTGAGATGCATGACGCGCGATAGCCGCCACAGAGGAAGTTACCACTGTTTTCAATAAGACGCAGGTTCCCACGGCGGATTACTGGGCCAAAACTCAGGAAACGCTGCCATTGATGCTGCTCCTAAAGATGAGTAATGCAGGACGATAAATATCGTTGCAAATAAAAATACCAAAAACGCGTTTAGCCGATAAGTTAATACCGACACGCTGTAACAGGGCTGCAAAATGTTTTGCCCACAAATTATAATACTTCTGTTGCCATTTAAATTTAAAATAAGTTGCTATGTTAAAGTAATGAGTTAAATTAAAAATAAAGACACCGTCAGTATCTTTCTGGCGGGCAAGTGGTTAAGATTAAAAAGAAGCTTCCTAACCACAACGATGATGCGCTGTCTTGCAAGCAAAAGCACAAATAAAAAAAATTGTCTACATACTTACCAAGAAGATGATACGCCCCACGATGGCCTCCTGGTTAAATACACAATTTGCAGTGAGCGACGGCATCGGCATCGCCCACTCGAACAAAATATGCAACAGCTCAGCAGCTCCTTGTGGGCTCCACCTAGCACCCTGAACTGCAACCGGCCTGTACTGCGGGCCACCCAATGCGTTGCTGCGGCTGCCAAGCCAGCTGACATGCAATACTCAGATAAGATGATCTGCTCCACGACGATCCACTGAGCCAAACCACTAATTGGCATGAGCGACGGTATAGCCCAGCAGCTTCATGTGGGCTCCCCTCACTTCCTGAATTGCCCGAGTGGCCATCCATCATAAGCGTACCTGCCAGCTGAGTGAGATGCATGACGCGCGATAGCCGCCACAGAGGAAGTTACCACTGTTTTCAATAAGACGCAGGTTCCCACGGCGGATTACTGGGCCAAAACTCAGGAAACGCTGCCATTGATGCTGCTCCTAAAGATGAGTAATGCAGGACGATAAATATCGTTGCAAATAAAAATACCAAAAACGCGTTTAGCCGATAAGTTAATACCGACACGCTGTAACAGGGCTGCAAAATGTTTTGCCCACAAATTATAATACTTCTGTTGCCATTTAAATTTAAAATAAGTTGCTATGTTAAAGTAATGAGTTAAATTAAAAATAAAGACACCGTCAGTATCTTTCTGGCGGGCAAGTGGTTAAGATTAAAAAGAAGCTTCCTAACCACAACGATGATGCGCTGTCTTGCAAGCAAAAGCACAAATAAAAAAAATTGTCTACATACTTACCAAGAAGATGATACGCCCCACGATGGCCTCCTGGTTAAATACACAATTTGCAGTGAGCGACGGCATCGGCATCGCCCACTCGAACAAAATATGCAACAGCTCAGCAGCTCCTTGTGGGCTCCACCTAGCACCCTGAACTGCAACCGGCCTGTACTGCGGGCCACCCAATGCGTTGCTGCGGCTGCCAAGCCAGCTGACATGCAATACTCAGATAAGATGATCTGCTCCACGACGATCCACTGAGCCAAACCACTAATTGGCATGAGCGACGGTATAGCCCAGCAGCTTCATGTGGGCTCCCCTCACTTCCTGAATTGCCCGAGTGGCCATCCATCATAAGCGTACCTGCCAGCTGAGTGAGATGCATGACGCGCGATAGCCGCCACAGAGGAAGTTACCACTGTTTTCAATAAGACGCAGGTTCCCACGGCGGATTACTGGGCCAAAACTCAGGAAACGCTGCCATTGATGCTGCTCCTAAAGATGAGTAATGCAGGACGATAAATATCGTTGCAAATAAAAATACCAAAAACGCGTTTAGCCGATAAGTTAATACCGACACGCTGTAACAGGGCTGCAAAATGTTTTGCCCACAAATTATAATACTTCTGTTGCCATTTAAATTTAAAATAAGTTGCTATGTTAAAGTAATGAGTTAAATTAAAAATAAAGACACCGTCAGTATCTTTCTGGCGGGCAAGTGGTTAAGATTAAAAAGAAGCTTCCTAACCACAACGATGATGCGCTGTCTTGCAAGCAAAAGCACAAATAAAAAAAATTGTCTACATACTTACCAAGAAGATGATACGCCCCACGATGGCCTCCTGGTTAAATACACAATTTGCAGTGAGCGACGGCATCGGCATCGCCCACTCGAACAAAATATGCAACAGCTCAGCAGCTCCTTGTGGGCTCCACCTAGCACCCTGAACTGCAACCGGCCTGTACTGCGGGCCACCCAATGCGTTGCTGCGGCTGCCAAGCCAGCTGACATGCAATACTCAGATAAGATGATCTGCTCCACGACGATCCACTGAGCCAAACCACTAATTGGCATGAGCGACGGTATAGCCCAGCAGCTTCATGTGGGCTCCCCTCACTTCCTGAATTGCCCGAGTGGCCATCCATCATAAGCGTACCTGCCAGCTGAGTGAGATGCATGACGCGCGATAGCCGCCACAGAGGAAGTTACCACTGTTTTCAATAAGACGCAGGTTCCCACGGCGGATTACTGGGCCAAAACTCAGGAAACGCTGCCATTGATGCTGCTCCTAAAGATGAGTAATGCAGGACGATAAATATCGTTGCAAATAAAAATACCAAAAACGCGTTTAGCCGATAAGTTAATACCGACACGCTGTAACAGGGCTGCAAAATGTTTTGCCCACAAATTATAATACTTCTGTTGCCATTTAAATTTAAAATAAGTTGCTATGTTAAAGTAATGAGTTAAATTAAAAATAAAGACACCGTCAGTATCTTTCTGGCGGGCAAGTGGTTAACATTAAAAAAGGTTAAGATTAAAAAAAAAAAAAGTTAAGATTAAAAAAAAAAAAAAAAAAAAAAAAAAGTAAATGCTGCGCTCAGATGAGGAATACGATTCCTCTGACGCCTCCATAATCTCGGTCGGCTACAACTTCGGTGATATAGCGAGATACGTCATGCCCAGTGCCAGTGAATCTGATAATTCCCAACTTGACAAATTAACGACGGCACCCTTGACCGTGCCAGACGCTACTGCTCACGGTACTACCCGGCGACTCTCCATGGATGCACTTGCTCCAGCCAATTCTAGCCACGATGCTGCCCCATCGGCGGCAGATCCGACGAGAGCAAGCGGTGAGTACATAGTCACACTCCCGTCGCAGTCCAACTCGGACCTGTCCACCAAGCCTATCCGCGGTTCACCCATGGATGTAACGTTTGACACCGAGGATGAAGCCGCCCTTGCTGAAATGGATGCCCCGCTGAGCCCCCTGCAAACGACAGTAATGGAAAAAACCATTTGCCCAAAAATCTTCAAAAAAGAACAAGCAAAGAAAGGGCCGCCAAAACGCGCATCAGACGCCACTAACACCACAAAAAAAGGCGCCAATACATATAAAATCCAAAAGAAAAAAGCGAAAATCACTAACACAATCAAACGCAAAAGTAGCGGCACATTCCCCGCCAAAAGAGAAATAAGAGACACAAAAAGAATGACAAATGCCAACGGAATCGGCACACACACACTACAACAGTGCGCACAGCAAATACACACACAGGGCAAGGAAACTGCTTTATCGACAAGCGCCAATAAAAGCGGCGCACACATACTACAGCAGGAACTAAACGCTGCTTTACAGTCCTCATCTACCAATGCACGCATGAACGCCAACATAACTGGCACTCAGCAACAACAAGCAACACAGCAGAAACCACTACAACAGCCAATACAGAGCCAACAACAAGTTAAACCTTGGAAGCTACTTCTCCAGCAATGGAAAAACAATTCTATGCCTGCGCCAACAGCAACAACTACAACAACCACAACCAGAAGAAACTTGCTGCCATCTTTAATAAAATCGCCGCCAACTCAGACGCTAACAATGACGGCAGAAAATACCAACAACGACAAAGCAACATTGCTACAAAGCTGGCTATCTGGTGTGCCACCACTGCTGCCCAACGAACTACCAAAGCCTCCACTAGTAACGATAAATACCGCCGCCACAACATGGCGATCCCCCCTGAAGAGAAGATGTGTGGACATGGATGAATCTGATGATGATCCCGCTCTCCAGGTGCTACCGCTAACAACGCCCATTTTTAAGAGCGGGTTCGCCATCAAGCTCCACCAGGAGGCACGCCGGCAACAAATGCTCCAAAGTGACGCACAGCAGCAACATGGACAGCAGGCAGAACAGCAAGGGCAATCACAAAATTGTCAGCATTCACAGCCACATCAACAACAGAATCAACAAAAATCGCAACAACATCAGCAATCAAAGGACGAGAGCTCGCAGCAGCAATCGAAAGAGCATCTACCACAGCCACTACAGCAACAGACAATACAAAGCAAGAAAGTGCCCGCACTCTTCTTGCCGATGGTGCCCGCAATTATACCACTACTAGATAAACTGAAAAGCAATCCAGGTGTTGGAAAATTCTCCACAAAGGCAACATCTGGCAGCGGATTACGTGTCCAATGTGAAGATCTGGTCACACACAACGCAATCCTGACCGCCCTGGCTGAAGAAGGCACTCATCTGCATACGCACCAACTACGCAGCGAAAAGGGATATCGCATAATCTTGCGCCATATCCATCACACTACACCCTGTGAATGGATAGCGGCCAAGCTAGAACAATTGGGCTTTGTCGCTCGATTCATCCGAGGCATAAAACACCGGTTTACAGGCAGGCCGCTGAATATATTCGAAATCGAACTGCAGACCAAAGCGGATGGGAGCCATGAAGACATCCTCAACCTGAAAGAGCTGGGGAGCCAATCAGTCGCGGTTGAGCGGCAAGTCAAACCTCGTGATCCAGTGCAGTGCCATCGGTGCCAGGCCTTTGGACACACGAAAAATTACTGCAGGCGGCCTTTCGTCTGCATGAAATGTGCAGGTGAGCACATGTCAACTGCGTGCACCAAACCCAGACAGGTGGAGCCCAAGTGCGCAAATTGCAAGGGCAATCATATAAGCTGCTATAAAGGCTGCCCTGCCTACAAAAACGCACGCAGCAAACTAAGGGCAAACCGAGTCATGGCCGATGATAAACAGCGGCAAGAACGTGAGCAGAGGCAGCAGCCACTGCCAGGAATCCAGCATCCACACCAGATAAAACCAGCACATCAGCAGTCAAGAGCATTAAAACAGCCAGGAGTCGCTAAGCTATCCTACAGTCAGGTCGTGCGTAACGGCAACGCTGCCGGTCGCGTACGAAACCCGGCCGAAATACACTTGGCCACTTTCCAGCAGCAACTACGATTGGAACAACAGCAAAATCAACTACCAAATCCTCCCATGAGGGAACAGCAGATCTCAGCAACAAACAATGCCAGTACACCGAATTCAGCTGAAAGATCCACCAACATGTCCCACAGCCGGCTTGTGTCCACAATCCGCAAACATAACCCGAAAAGAAAGCTTTTAGGAACACTTCAGCGGCCACTTCGCAGACGGCAGAATCAACAACAACATCGTTCGAACAATTCCAGGAAGCCAGCAACATCATCAATTAACAAGCCAGCTACTCCAACCAATCGTGACAAGTTCACGCACGGCCAAGTCGACTATAGTGCTCCCTTGCGCAATTCGTTTGGAAGTCATTTGGCCACTCCACAGCAGCATCAATGGGATGAACAGCAGCAGCAGGCAGGACACCAATCATCAATGTCCAAAAGCACTATACTCCAGACATTAGAACAAAACATGGCAATGTTTAGTCGCATGGAAAAAAGAATAGACACTCTATTAAATGTCCTTGTGCAATTCATTACCATCCATAATGAAAACAATACAACAAACACCAATAATCATGTGTTCCCAAACATAGCCCATCAACAAACAGACAGCAAAGCAGCCCAAATGGACTGCTCTAGGGAAGCTGCCATCGCCAATGACGTCACTAAATATGTATAGTCGTACTCACAGCAGTACCGACTCTCAATTGACCATAGCCACTACTTCCTCAGCTGAAAATGTCCACAACAGTGCGCCAATTAGTACAGCAAATCCACATGTGACCATCCACAGGAGCGGCCAGAATAGCAACCCACTTAAAATTGCTTTCTGGAATGCATGTGGTATAGGCAACAAAATGACAGAGCTAGAGCTGTACATGCGACGCGAGTCCATCCAAATTATGATGGTCATCGAAACTCGGGTTCCATCTGACGCCAGCATACTAAGCATGGACGGCTACCACACATACAGTACAACCAATCCACACACGTATCGGAGAGGTGGAGTCGCTATCTTTGTACGAAACGACATTAGACATGCCGCCCTTCATCCAATGTCCGAGAACTTCCTCCAGATTATGCCTGTTGCCTTACTTCCTGAAAATGAGAATAAAAGGGAAATAATTATAATTGCGCCAATATACTGCCCCCCAGTGTTCAAATGGTCAGTCGAACACTTCACAAAACTGTTCAGACATTTTGACAAAATCACAGAACTGGCTTCATCTAACTTTCTCCTCTGCGGTGACTGGAATGCCCAGCACTCATGGTGGGGAAACCCGCGCGCCTGTCACAGAGGCAAAGCGCTCTTCGAAGCAATTCACACGCAAAGTCGATATAATGTTCTGGCCACCGGCGGAGCAACGCACTACCCGTACGATAGGAGGAAAAGACCATCAGCAATTGACCTCGCAGTCTACGGTGGGCTAGATAGCAATCGACTTCGAATCCACTCCTCTACGGACCTGGACTCGGACCACCTGCCCCTAAGAGTTGATCTGATCACTAACAAAAATCGAATCTTTACAACTCATACTGGAAATCACAGACTGCTACCTAATGGAGCCAATACGCATCGTTTTCAGGAGCTTCTTGACCAGCAAATCCACTTAAACACCGAGATCCGCAGTGGCCTGGACATCGACGATGCAGTGAACATCTTCGTACGCAACGTTCAAATAGCGGCAGATGCAGCAGCACACAGGCAGATAGGAAACCAGCTTAGCCACCGGGCCCACCGCAGGCACGATCTTGAACTGGACGAGCCAACCAGAAGACTATTATCGGAGAAACAGAGATGCAAGCAGATTTTAATGGCGACACGAACTCCAGAGGCAAGGCAACAATATAGGTCTGCACAAAATAAGTTGAAGAAGGCACTAATCCAGCTGAAAAACAAGAATATTAATAAAATGCTTGTGGACATTGACACCCATGATCGATACGCTATGCAAAAGCTTTGGAGACTTACCAACAAGCTTAAAAAACAGCCGCAGCCCAATTGGCCAATAAAAACAATACAGGCTAATGTTGGCAATGGGGGCGCGAGGCGTGCGACAAATCCAAACGTAATATGGACGAAAACTACTGCCGAAAAAGCGGAGGCTTTCGTCGCCCACCTTGAAGAAAGATTCAGTCCAAATTTCTCTAATTCGTCTGAGGAGCGTGCAGAAATTCGTCAGGAATGGAGACAACTGAAGCAGCAGAAACTCCAGCAGCAACAAACAGACCAGGAGCTACAGCAGACTATTAGGCCAATCACGCTCAATGAACTAAAGCTAGAAATTGATGCACTAGTGGTAACGAAGTCGCCTGGAGAAGATAAAATAGATAACAGAATTATCCAACTTTTACCGCAAAAAGCGCTGCTATACTTACTGCTAATCTACAACTCTAGCCTAAGGTTAGGGCATTTCCCAAGCAAATGGAAACACGCTGGCATAACTATGATTCCCAAGCCTGGTAAAAGCACAGCTGAAGCAACATCATATCGTCCAATCAGCCTCTTATCGGGCCTATCAAAGATCTTCGAGAAGCTCTTAATGTCAAGGCTCTTCGAAGTCCAGGATTTTGCCAGGGCAATGCCAAGCCATCAATTTGGCTTCAGGCGAGAACACGGCACTGAGCAGCAACTGGCCCGCGTTACGCAATTTATATTACGCGCATACGAAGAGCGACATTTCTGCTCAGCGGTCTATATAGATATCTCGGAAGCCTTTGACCGCGTGTGGCATGACGGCCTGCTGAACAAGTTAATAAAATTGTTACCATTAAACCTTTATACGATACTTGAAAATTACCTATGCGAGCGCACCTTCGTAGTAAACTGCAACGACGGTGTCAAATCTAGAACAGGTCGAGTTGCTGCCGGCGTGCCCCAGGGCAGTGTGCTGGGCCCAATTCTGTACACAATTTACTCGTCGGATATGCCCCTCCCATCGCTCATGAGACGCACATACTTTGCGCCCAGCCAAAATCAAATGCTGTTATCAACATACGCCGACGATACAGTGATCATGTGTGCCTCTGCGCTTCCCTCGGGGGCTGTCGGACAGAACGAGGAATACCTTCGCCACTTCACAAAATGGGCGAAAAAATGGTCCATTAGTATCAACGCTAACAAAACAGGCCATGTGCTCTACACACTGAGAAATCTAGCTCAAACAGATAGAGAACGGTCACCACTACTAAATGGGCAAAGGATACCAAGCAAAACCTCACAGACATACCTGGGAATCATACTGGACCGGAAACTCACCCTCAAACCACATGTCACTCACCTAAGTAACAAGCTGAGAGCAAGAGCATCCAAACTGATGTGGCTCCTTGGTCCCAACAGCAGACTGGCAAAGGACTGCAAAGCGGTACTCATCAAGCAGCTCATCATACCAATCTGGCAATACGGTCTCCCTGTCTGGGGGGCGCTCACATCGGACACACAGTTACAACGAATTCAGCGACTGCAAAATAAAATAATAAGAAAATCAGTTAATGCATCCTGGTACACCAGAAACGCAACAATACGGAGTACATACTGCCTTAAAACTGTTGACGAAGTCTTTCACTTGGCAAGTGACCGCTTTGCAAACTCGTTGGTCAGACATGCAAACCCTGAGGCACGAAACCTGCTAGAGCACCCATTTGAGCCACAGCGCCTACTGAGGCCCCGCTACATGCAGCAATTACAACAACACATACGACCGCTTCAGAATCATCATGGACCGCAACAGCGCCAAGCACAGCCACCGCACACACAGCACACTGCTCACCAAGCACAACAAGCACAACAAAGGATGCAATTTAGAGAGCAGCTTCCAACACTCCTCCGGCTTCAAGAAGAAGAGCTAGAGAGGCGAGAAAATGAGAGATTGGCCGAAATCCAGGCAAGGCAACAGATCCAGCAACCTAATCGGCCGCCTCCTAGAAGATTCGGGGAGTCAATAATAAATGCGTTAAGAAGAATGTATAGAAGCGGAGAAATCACCCGTGAAGAGGTAGTGGCAGATATTCAAGGCCAACCCCCAACAATCCAGCGATTAATCCTACCAGACTATGTGGACGAGAGGCAGCAGGATCATCAAACACAGCAAGCTCTGCCAATGCAGATGCAACAGGCACCATCAACGCAGCAACAACAGCAGCTAACTACGCCAACTCAGGAGTCAGTGAATCCGCAGTTGCAACCGCAGCTACAGCAGCCGCAACTCCAACAAACTCAGCTAACGACGACTGTCATCCAGGCCAGGCACCAACTCCAGCAAATACCTAGAAGATTTGGGGAGTTAAGAATAAATGCGTTAAGAAGAATGTATAGAAGCGGACAAGTTACCCGTGAAGAGCTAGTGGCTAACATCCAAGGCCAACCTCCAACAATCCAGCGATTAATCCTACCAGACTATGTGGACGAGAGGCAGCAGAATCATCAACCACAGCGTACTCTGCCAATGCAGATACAACAGGCACTATCAACGCAGCAACAACAGCAGCTAACTACGCCAACTCAGGAGTCAGTGAATCCGCAGTTGCAACCGCAGCTACAGCAGCCGCAACTCCAACAAACTCAGCTAACGACGACTGTCATCCAGGCCAGGCACCAACTCCAGCAAATACCTAGAAGATTTGGGGAGTTAAGAATAAATGCGTTAAGAAGAATGTATAGAAGCGGACAAATTACACGTGAAGAGCTAGTGGCTAACATCCAAGGCCAACCCCCAACAATCCAGCGATTAATCCTACCAGACTATGTGGACGAGAGGCAGCAGAATCATCAAACACAGCATACTCTGCCAATGCAGACTCAACAGGCATCAGTAACGCCACAACAGCAGCTAACGACATCACCTCAGGGGACAGGAAACCTGCAATCGCTGACGCAACCACAGCAGCCGCAACTACAACACACCCAGATAAATACAGCCATCAGCCACGAAACACTCCTGGAGCATGGCCTCCAGAGAGTCCGGTTAACATTGGAACGCGTTCTAAATGAAGACATGGAAGTCGCAAGCTCCCAAGATGATCTGCTGGGTCAAATAATTAGTTTGGAATGAGCAACGGCATTGGCAGCGTCTACCAAAACAAATATGAAATAGCTCAACTGCTCCTTGTGGGCTCCATCCAACATCCTGACTCATAACGGAACCGATTTAATACTTTGCCGCCAAGTCAGCTGACATGCAATTCCTCGACAAATTGTGGAGTCTGAGAGACGCCAATAGATGTTTCCAAACCACGACACAGAAGTGCTGACCTGCAAACAAAGGCACAAATTAAACACTGTTTAAACAAAGCTTTAAATGCATACACACCAAGAACACGATGCGCCCACGACGGCCAACTGGGCCAAATTCTCAATTTGGAGTGAGCGAGTGCCTCGGCATCGCCCACTCAAACAAAATATGCAACAGCTCAGCAGCTCTTTGTGGGCTCATCCAGCATCCTGAAACGCAAACAGCCTGCTGGCATGCCATCAAGTACAACGGAGCCGATTTAATACGCTGCTGTGACTACCAAGTCGACTGATATGTAAATTCTGGACAAGCTGCGTGGCGTGTGAGAGACGCCACCAGATATTTCCAAATCACGAATGATGATGCGCTGTCCTGCAACCAAAGGCACATAAATAAAAGCAAAAAATTGTTTAAAATACATACTTACCAAAAGATGACATGCTCCACGACGGCCTGCTGGTCGAATGCCCAATTTAGAGTGGGCGACTGCTTCGGTATCGCCCATTCAAACAATTCCTGGCCAAACTGCATGGCGTGTGAGAGACGCCACTGGATGTTTCCAAACCGCGACGATGATGCGCTGTCCTGCAAGCAAGGTTTGGGAACTCAATTTGGAGTGAGCGACGGCCTCGGCATCGCCCACTCGAACAAGGTATTCAACAGCCCAGCAGCTCCTTGTGGGCTCCATCTAGCATCCTGAACTGCAACCGGCCTGTTTGCGGGCCACCCGGGTCTGCTGACATGCAACTACTGGACGGATTGTGGAGTGTGAGAGACGACAATGAATGTTTCTAAAGCAAGACGCAGAACTGCTGCCCTGCAAATAAAGGCATAAATTAAACAATGTCTAAATAAAGCTTTAAATACATACATACCAAGAAGACGATGCACCCACGACGGTAAATTGGGCCAAATACTCATTTGAAGTGAGCGACTGCTTCGGTATCGCTCATACAAACAATTCCTGGTCAAGCTGCGTGGCGTGTGAGAGACGCCACCAGATATTTCCAAATCACGAAGATGATGCGCTGTCCTGCAACCAAAGGCACATAATTAAAAGCAAAAAATTGTTTAAAACACATACTTACCAAGAAGATGACATGCTCCACGACGGCCTGCTGGCTAAATACTCAACCTGGAGTGAGCGACAGCTCCGGCACCGCCCTCTCAAACAAAGTGGGCAACAGCTCAGCAGCTCCTGTTGGGCTCCATCTAGCAATCTGAATCGCTACCGGCCTGCTTCCAGGCCATCCATTACTATTGAGCCGATTGAATGCGTTACTGTGACCGCCAAGCCAACTGACATTTTTTTTTTTTTTTTTTTGTAGTATGTACTGGTCTATTACTCAGTACATACGGCTGGTGGCCCAGATCCGTGTAATGGCTGGATCTGGACAAGTTTACCGCACTGCGCCGCTTAGCGGACCACGCGGAATCGGTCGTTTTCTTGGGAGGCAATTGTTGGTATTGCAGATTATGGCTAGGTATAGCTCTTGTTTTTGGCGCTTAGGTGTTGCTCAGGTTGGAGCTTGTTGCGCTGGGTGAAGCACGGATTGTTTTTATTGGTGGTTGGTCAATACGCTATTGTGGCTTTGGTGGCTAGCCTTGGAAGTGTAGAGCATATTGAGGTTGTTAGTTGTGGTTAGTGTTTGCGCCAGGTTGGTGGTTAGTTGTGGATTAGTTTTGAAGTCTGGTGGGACAGTTCAGGTTTTTGAGGTTTGTTGAGCTGTTTGGCATAGGAGTTGTGCCGGCTAGCATTGTTTTCTTGGGGTTTCATGGTCACTGCTCACTCACCTGGTTTACACATACCCAGAAGGGCAGAGCTCCAGGCACCCAAGCAAAGCAGTTAAGGCACTGAGGTTGTGCAGATTTGATTCTTTATCACTGCTCACTCACCTGGTTTACACATACCCAGAAGGGCAGAGCTCCAGGCACCCAAGCAAAGCAGTTAAGGCACTGAGGTTGTGCAGATTTGATTCTTTATCACTGCTCACTCACCTGGTTTACACATACCCAGAAGGGCAGAGCTCCAGGCACCCAAGCAAAGCAGTTTAGGCACTGGGATATTGTTGTGCTGTTTTTAATCTATAACTGCTCACTCACCTGGTTTACACATGTCCGGAAGGACAGAGCTCCAGGTACCCAAGCTAAGCAGTTTTTAGAAGTCTGATATGACTGTTCTAGGCACTGGAATTTAGGCGGTGCAGATTTATTAGGGGTGTGATATATCCGAATATTGGATTGTTGTTTGGGTCACTTTTGGTGTGTATGGGTCTCCTGTTGCTATTGAGCAAATTGGGTTTGTTTTTGTTTGTCTGGTATGAACGTTAACATGCAACTTGGTTGTCGTCTGCTTGTCTAAGAACATACACTTTAGGGTCTCTTCTCAGTCTCTATTCTGACAAACTGAATGACTTGCATATTAATGGGTTAGTATTATTGTTAGTTGAATTGGTCATATGGTAATTCTGGCACTGAGAATTGGGAGTGCAGTTTGTGCGAATTGTAAGTGCACAATATGCTATGGCTGGATATTTTGGTGGTTAAGTTTGTTCAGCAGTTTGAAGTTTGTTGCATGTTTGCATAGACTATTGGATTATGGTACACAGTGTAATTTGGTTGTGTGTTTGGTTGTTCTTTATTTGGCCATTGTTTGGTTTGGCAGTTAATATTTATATAATTGTTATTTGGTTTGAGTTAGTTATTTTAAATTGAGTAATTGGATTGGCCATGGTGTTTGGATCAGCAAGATCAGGGTTAATGATAGTGAAGCACAAGGTGCTTGTATCATTATATTTCTTCACTTTATGCTGATCCATTTGACTAGGCAGTATTTTTGGATTTTTCTTTTTGGATTTGCATTCTTTGGCCAGTCTCCCGGGTTGGGGTGTTGGGACTGTAGTGTCATTGGTGAGTGTGGCTTAGAGTTTGGCATTTGTTGTTTGTGCTAAGCATTGGTGCCTTGTCTTGGTTGTGTTAGTTGTGTTAGTGATTGGCATTTGTGGTTGGTGTATGCAGTTAATATTTATGTGTTTCTTGGTGAGTGTGGCTTGGTTTCTGTGGTCTAAGCAACTTATTCATATGTGGCACTTTTATTTGGCTCACAGTATGACTTGGCTAGGTTTTGTTTAAGCTCACTTAGGTCGAGCAGTTGGTTGTTTGTTAGTGCTATTAGGGGGGGGTTCTGATTGGTGAACAGGCCAGGGGGGGTATGGGTCAGCATTGTCAGAGATAATGATAGTGATAGCGTGAGATGCTCTTATCATTATATTTCATCACTATATGCTGACCCACTAGGCTAGGCAGTTTTCTTGGTTTGTTATCATTGTGCTACTGGTAAGTATGATGTGTTTTTATTTTGGTTTTTAGTTTGCCATATATTTGTTAATTAGGCTAGGCAGTTTTAACTGTGTTACTGGTGAGTATGGCTTGGTGTTTATATAGATTAAGCATAGCATACTTATATGGTGTATGCAGTTTTATGGTTATTGTTGTTGGTTAGATTGGTTAGATTATAGTGTTAGTGGTAGTGTATCATCTAGGGGGCTAAGTGCTGGTTGCACAGAAATTTGTTGTGGCTGTGTAAGCGGTTTTTGTTGCTGCTGGGGTGCACTCTCAGCTTGCGCAGGAAAGGATGCTAGTAGTCGTTCTGTTTCTTGGAGTTTATTGTTGAGAGCGATTAGTTCTCGATTGATGTTATTCATTTCGTTGACACTCATTGGAAAGCGGAGTGTAAAGGATCGTTCTGTGGTGTCTGGGTCAAATGGTAGTCTAGCGCGTAGCTCACTGATTTGTTGGAGTAGGCTATGTTTCTTGCTCTGAAGTTTGGCAAAATATTCTGGTTGGAGATTCTGTACAGGTTTTCTGACTGTTGGTAATGGGGCTATGGTACGTTGTATTGGTCTAACGTGTTTGCTAAGTTGATCCATATATCTGGCTCGACTTCTGGCTAAACGAAATGGGACGTATGGGGTGGCAACAAGCTTTTTTGCTTCAATGTTTGAGTGTTTGCCAAGTCTTTTGGCATAATTGGCAGAAAGTTTGTCAAATGTGTCTTCGATTGTGCGTATCTTAAGGTCGTTGTGTATTGTGCTATTTCTGGTTAGTGGTGGGGGGTTCATGATGGTTCGTAGGGTAATATTTTGAAATGTAGTGACTTTATTGATCTGAGTTTCACTTGTGAGTGCACCCCAGACTGGCAGAGCGTAATGCCATATTGGGGCTATTAATTGTTTATACAAAAGGGTTTTGCAATTTAATGTGAGTTTGCTTTGGTTATTTATCAGCCAGTCGAGTTGGGCTCTTCTGGCTTTGAGTTTGGTTGTAAGGGCTGCAATATGTTTGCAGAAATTTAATTTCTTATCTAAATTTACACCCAGATAGGGATGGGAGTCTTTGGTGATAATGGGTTGGCCTAAGATTTTTGGTGAAATTATGGGTAGTATGAGTTCATAGTTTTCTTTTAGATGGAATAGTATGTGTGCCGTTTTGCTGGCATTTATTTTTATACACCATTTATTGGTCCATTTTTTTTTTTTTTTTTTTGTAGTATGTACTGGTCTATTACTCAGTACATACGGCTGGTGGCCCAGATCCGTGTAATGGCTGGATCTGGACAAGTTTACCGCACTGCGCCGCTTAGCGGACCACGCGGAATCGGTCGTTTTCTTGGGAGGCAATTGTTGGTATTGCAGATTATGGCTAGGTATAGCTCTTGTTTTTGGCGCTTAGGTGTTGCTCAGGTTGGAGCTTGTTGCGCTGGGTGAAGCACGGATTGTTTTTATTGGTGGTTGGTCAATACGCTATTGTGGCTTTGGTGGCTAGCCTTGGAAGTGTAGAGCATATTGAGGTTGTTAGTTGTGGTTAGTGTTTGCGCCAGGTTGGTGGTTAGTTGTGGATTAGTTTTGAAGTCTGGTGGGACAGTTCAGGTTTTTGAGGTTTGTTGAGCTGTTTGGCATAGGAGTTGTGCCGGCTAGCATTGTTTTCTTGGGGTTTCATGGTCACTGCTCACTCACCTGGTTTACACATACCCAGAAGGGCAGAGCTCCAGGCACCCAAGCAAAGCAGTTTAGGCACTGGGATATTGTTGTGCTGTTTTTAATCTATAACTGCTCACTCACCTGGTTTACACATGTCCGGAAGGACAGAGCTCCAGGTACCCAAGCTAAGCAGTTTTTAGAAGTCTGATATGACTGTTCTAGGCACTGGAATTTAGGCGGTGCAGATTTATTAGGGGTGTGATATATCCGAATATTGGATTGTTGTTTGGGTCACTTTTGGTGTGTATGGGTCTCCTGTTGCTATTGAGCAAATTGGGTTTGTTTTTGTTTGTCTGGTATGAACGTTAACATGCAACTTGGTTGTCGTCTGCTTGTCTAAGAACATACACTTTAGGGTCTCTTCTCAGTCTCTATTCTGACAAACTGAATGACTTGCATATTAATGGGTTAGTATTATTGTTAGTTGAATTGGTCATATGGTAATTCTGGCACTGAGAATTGGGAGTGCAGTTTGTGCGAATTGTAAGTGCACAATATGCTATGGCTGGATATTTTGGTGGTTAAGTTTGTTCAGCAGTTTGAAGTTTGTTGCATGTTTGCATAGACTATTGGATTATGGTACACAGTGTAATTTGGTTGTGTGTTTGGTTGTTCTTTATTTGGCCATTGTTTGGTTTGGCAGTTAATATTTATATAATTGTTATTTGGTTTGAGTTAGTTATTTTAAATTGAGTAATTGGATTGGCCATGGTGTTTGGATCAGCAAGATCAGGGTTAATGATAGTGAAGCACAAGGTGCTTGTATCATTATATTTCTTCACTTTATGCTGATCCATTTGACTAGGCAGTATTTTTGGATTTTTCTTTTTGGATTTGCATTCTTTGGCCAGTCTCCCGGGTTGGGGTGTTGGGACTGTAGTGTCATTGGTGAGTGTGGCTTAGAGTTTGGCATTTGTTGTTTGTGCTAAGCATTGGTGCCTTGTCTTGGTTGTGTTAGTTGTGTTAGTGATTGGCATTTGTGGTTGGTGTATGCAGTTAATATTTATGTGTTTCTTGGTGAGTGTGGCTTGGTTTCTGTGGTCTAAGCAACTTATTCATATGTGGCACTTTTATTTGGCTCACAGTATGACTTGGCTAGGTTTTGTTTAAGCTCACTTAGGTCGAGCAGTTGGTTGTTTGTTAGTGCTATTAGGGGGGGGTTCTGATTGGTGAACAGGCCAGGGGGGGTATGGGTCAGCATTGTCAGAGATAATGATAGTGATAGCGTGAGATGCTCTTATCATTATATTTCATC